TTGTTTGGCGGGTCCGGGCTGGATTCAAACCCGCCACCTTAGGTGTATGTGGCTGGCGCCTTAGCCACTTGAGCCACAGGCGCCGAGCCAGTCTGGTGTATTCTTTGTTGGGTTTTTCAACTCTATAAATGTTAGGTTAAAAAAATGATGAAGGGAAGAAACTCAGGTAAGTTATGGCAAAGGCACACACAGCCCCACTGAGGATACAAACTGTTCTCAGAACAGTCCTGGTATTCGCCACCATCATTTCAAGGGATAGATTCAACGCCTAAGAAAGAAGATCTCAGAGATCTGTATTGCCAGAACATTCCCATTCTCCCTGCAATTTCGGGAAAGTACAGAGACCATGCTTTGTACTATGTATTTGCAAAGGAAGAAATGAAGGAACACACAAATAAGGCAAAAGTGATTCGCCTTACCTAAGTGTCATCCCAAGATGAGTAATGAGACAGTGTTAGTTTGGGTCATGGAACAAAGGGGCACCAACTCTACTCCTATCCCACAGTCAAGTTCCAGAGAATTGCATTTCCTGAGCACCTGTGGTTCCCAGGCAGGCAACAAAGGCCTTATCCTAAAAAAGGGAAGCTAATGTTCCCAACTTTGCCTCATGTAAGCCCTAAACTCCAAAGTCTCCATTTTATGCCACAGGCATATTTATTCTTCCCTGGTGTGCAACATGTGGACCTGAGCTCACCTAAGGGTCCTGAGACAGCTTGTCTCCCCAAGCCAACTTTGCAAAGTGCCTAGAGCTGTCTTACTCTAGTTAATTGATAACTCAGCATTACTTCTCCCAAGGATAAATTAATAAAGGACTCTTAAAGACGTTGGAGAATGTTGAAACTTGAGAAATTGATTGCTAAGATAAAGTTGGAAGACATACTTTTCAGCACTGGGGCCTGCCTAGCATCACACTGTGTGTGTCATTCCCTGACGGATGTGTCAGTGCATACAGGTAATCCTGTCAAAACACCTACAGGAACCCAGCACATGTCAGCAGAGGCTTTTTAACCTCTATCCCAGGTAAATATATGGGTGTCAGGAGATAGGAGGGAGGTGGAAAATTCCACAAAACCTAAGTCCAAATGAAGCCTGGATCTGGGTGGGACATATCTTTTTTTTTGGGGGGGGGGGGACACATACATTGATAAATGGAATGAGTTTGGTTTGATTTCTTTCTTTTTTTGCAGCTTTTGGCCGGGGCTGGGTTTGAACCCGCCACCTCTGGCATATGGGACTGGCGCCCTACTCACCCTTTTGAGCCACAGGCACCCCTCTGGTTTAATTTCTATGTTTATCATTTCTATCAGTATTCTCCTTTTTGGGATACTGGAAATTGAACAAAACTTGGGAGACAGAAAGTAAGAATTTGATTTCTGGTTCTGCCATACAATAACGGAATCTTGGGGAAGTATCCTAAGACTTAATGGAATGGTTTCCTGGGGCTGCCATTACAAAGTATGTACCATGGCTCGGCACCTGTGGCTCAAGTGGCTAAGGTGCTAGCCACATACACCTAAGGTGGTGGGTTCGAATCCAGCCCGGGCCTGCCAAACAACGATGGCTGAGACCAAAACACAGCCAGGCGTTGTGGTGGGTGCCTGTAGTCCCAGCTACTTGGAAGGCTGAGGCAGGAGATTCGCTTGAGCCCAGGAGTTGGAGG